TTTAACAGGAAAATATTTTCTAATAGGGGAAAATTATGAACCTTAAAGCAACAGAGGTAAATATCTATTATTACCATGATTTTTCAAACAGAGAAATTCATATAGTCTCTGCAAAGAAATAAAATGTAATGGACTGCTTTAAGAAAAATTAGTATCACCATCAACTTCCAAAATCTCTTTCATAGCTCTCTACAGGATCTGCTCCATGTTTAGTATATGCACACAGGTGCTTGAAATGCTATTAACAAGTGAAGTAACTTTTTCAAGATGCTGGTACCAGGTTCACTGGTAACAGAGTCCCAGCAGAACTGTGAGTCTATAAATACAAGTCATCAGTACCTACCAGTCTCAGTATGATTGAGGGAAGACATGAGAATTTAGTAATAAGATAAATCAGTCACTTCTGGTTCTAAGATTTGACGGGGCTTGACAGATGCCTCACCGTCCAGGGCAGAGCTAAGCAGCACAGTGTTGGTTGATAAATAATAACCACTTTAAAAAATTTCATTTATATCTGGGATGTGAGTTTGTGCCACGCTGCTTGCTCTCTGCCTCTCTATAAACAAACAATCAACAATTTCTGTTATTAGCCACTGGTCTAAAATTAATGATGGCTCAAATATCTGAAAATATGCCAACTCTCCAAATACAGTAATGCTGCCCTTTCAACTGAAACTTACTATCAACATATCTAGTTTTCTTCAATGGCTTTTACTTCCCAAAGAGAATCAGCTGACTTAAAAGAGCAGGTATTTCCCATTCAATACAGGAATTTTATGATCTGAAAAGAATATTCAGTTTCCTTGTTTAAGCACAGCCTTCACAGAATATGGTACTCAAAGTATTATCTGAGTAAATTATTACCAAAAAAGCTGTTCCTGCATAAGAATCACTACTAGGAGTATACAAAGTAACAATTTCTTCTAAAGAAATGTAGCAATTCAGTTTGAGAATGAAAAGAGCTGGGTAGAGAAGAAAAGTAGACAGTAAAACATAATTTAACTATCGTTACTCACAATATAGCAAATTAAAAAATCAGAAGTTACATACTTCAGAAAAAAAGGGAAATGGGCAAAAGACAAAATATTGGTATTCTAGAATTTTTTTTTTGAACTTAGAAACTATCTCTACTGTAAACAGGGACATTTCACATATAACCATCCATTGTCAATATGTATGGGAGTTCACCCAGGATAAACCAAATTGTAAGAAAATGAGCTAGACAGCTTCCTACAACTAACAAATTTACTGGTATTTAAAAAGCAATATTTACCTCCACCACATTTACAAAGTTCCCAATAATCTGATTTAGATGGAAACTTCTCTGTGAAGAGTAAGATGATTTTGATACTATTATCAATGCATAATGTGGATGTCAATCAGATGTAAATTCAATTATTTTTAAATTTTAAAGACATTTCATGCTTTATTCAGATGTAGCTTATGTTAGAAATTTCCCTTCTTCAACACTACAAGTTAGTAAATAAAATTAGGTAATATTTACATTGAATTTACAGTCTTGTTTATTTAAAAGAATATCCCTTAGTCTTGCTATATTAAATGGTTGCTCTTAAACTTCACTATACCTAAATTTAGAAAGTAAAGTAAGCTTTGGAAAGGAATCTGTCACTTTCACTAGCTCATTTAAGCTGAAACCTTTTCAAAATACATATTGCAAATAAGCTGAGGGTGCTCCTCAGGCATTTTGGGGCTACATTCTAATACAATGTTTAGTGGGTGAAAACTAAAATAACTGTGTCACATTTAAAGAAAATATAAGACTTGCACTAAGAAACCAAAACCTATATAGTATGCAACAGTTAACAAGACTATTTAAATGTTTCAGCTACCACAAAAAAAGGTTATAAAAATCATTATTTATATTTCAATTATAAAACACTGCTCTTAAAACATAATGTGTACCTGATTTATAATCACATATGAAAAACACAGATAAGACTATATACTTAGTCTAATTTGTATGGCAAAGAGTCAAAAGTAAGAGCATAATTTTACTATCTCTTATACAATCTGGCACACACACAACAAAAAAGACGAGGAGTCAAAATTGGCAATAAATCCATTATGAAGAGTGGCACCAAGTGAAATTTCAGAACACACTGCTTTCTATATACTCAAGGGTGATCTTATTTCAAAAAAGTATTTACAAAGATTCTAGAAAGCTATAGCCAACCTGATAACCTAGGCTTTCAATCCTTATCTCCATAATATTCAGTTGTCAGTTTCAGCTACACATTTAAATATCTAATGTGATTTTATATCCTACTTACACTATTCAGTGTCTGCATATAGATTTACAAATATATAAGTGACACTATATAGAATAGTACACTTATAACATTTTCTGGAAGTGTGATTTTGAAAAAAAACTGGATCATCTGGGATTTAAAAACATTTTCTTTTAAAAATTCTAAATTCTTTTTAGGAAGTCATTTAATGGAGACTGAATTAAAGTAAAAAATGCTAACTTCTATAAATTTGAAAAAGGGATTGCTATAAGTAGATTTAAGTAAATACTGTTCTAGACAAATATGATAATCAAGGAGCACTTAACACTAACTGACAAACACTGAACTTTCTTTGAAATCACAAGATCTTCTGTTTCAGCAACTGCAGCACAGAACATTAATGACAAGCAGGCTAAGTGAGCAAGTGTGTGAGAAGTATGGTACAGGACAAAAAAGGAAAGGTGAACTTATGTGTGTGTGTGTGTGTGTGTGTGTGTGTAAGCTTATAAAAGTGAAAATGTGAAATAAAATGGATTCATATTAACATTTCATGATAACAAAAAAAATTTAAGGAAAGAATATTTTCCTTGAGGAAGAGTATTTTCCGTAACTGGTTAAAAAAGCACCTGTGAGACCGTGCTGTCAGCTGTTATAATGGAGGTTTTGGATTCTTATCAATTGCAGCATAAAAAAAAGGCATTTCACAGCATAACTTCAGGGAAAATGTTATCTAGTCTAGAATTACACAGAAAGCAATTAAAAACTCTTTTAATTGGTAATACATAAATTTTTCTGGGTAGCAGCAGTTGCTCCTGTATGCGCCGTTTTAAAAAATGTGAAACAGAAGCAATAGAATAGGTAAAAATTTAAGAGTAAAAGTAGCAGCATTAAATAGAAAAGCAAATACTTAAATATATTAAAGAAAGCTTAAAATAAGGGAACAGTACTGTGCAACTTTCAACTATACCAAATAAAGTGCACTGCTTAAATGTTTACTGATAACATTTTCCCTATATTGAAAACATGAAATCTACTTATTGGTATTTTTGATATTAAAAAAAAAAGACATTCACTATTGTAGCCCTGATAGCTGTCTTCCAGTATTTTTTAACCTTTCAGATGTATTTTGTGGAATATTTATTCACATAATTTTAATACATTTCTTTCTACATAAACTGAATTTAAAAGTATAACATTTTCAATTACAGTAATAACACATTAATAAATTATAAATTAACAAAATCTTCATATTTGCTTTAAAAAATCATTTATCAAAGGCTAACCTCCAAATTATCTGGAAAATTAAAGATGCAAATTGTTAGAAATCTGGTATCCCAATTAAATTCTGATCTTTAAAAGTATATAAAATGTACCTCAAATTATTCCAAGTTCCACTCAAGAAAATTTTCTTTTACCCTTTCCGTAAGTTATTAAATTTACAACCTGCTAAACATTTTACCAAACATGAGGCCTGGAGATGCAAAACACAATAAAATAATTACATGAAAAGAACAAACAAAAATACCCGTTAAAACAACGTTATTGTAGCTGGCAGCACTTAAAATTGGTAATTCATATATTTTTTTAAAAAGTTGCATAGCTGCAAGATGATTCATTGCTGATTAACTGTGGAGCAGTTTTATTTAAGAAGAAACAACATATTTAAATAAATAGTAATTCAGTAGACAATCCTGGATTTAATTAATTAAAATGTAATTATGTAACTTGATTCACTCTTTGGACTGCATCCTGATAATCCTAAAACTTTAAAATATTAACATATTTCAGCTTTCCTATGTAGAAGTCTATTTTCCACTCTCAGGGGGAAAAAAAAAAGAACTTGAGATCATAGCCTACATTTCAGAGAATGTTTTACTGCTTGATTACATTTCTTGGTTTCACATTTGAGACTTTATAAGAAGTAAATTATGTGGTCTTCAATTTAGGAATAGGTGAATGCAGAAATATCATGTTGGGGAAAAATAGAGACCCCAAGCAAAAAAACAAATCAAAACACAAGTAGTTGCACAGCTCTAAAGAACTTAAAAAATCAACTTTAGATCAGTTAACTTTGGCGTCTGAGAGTTTATCAGTATTACCTACATAGATGACTGTTAAGGGATGTGCAGCATTTTCAGACTCCCTGTGTGTCCTTTATATGCATGTTTGGTGCAATGTGTTCTGCAGCAATTGTCCTCTCTTCAGCAGGATTTCTTTTGCTGTATGATTGTCCATCTCTGCCTTACCAAGTCTCACAGAACTCAAGATTTCTGGCTTAGTATTCCTGCGTTTTTGTTTGTTTTTCCAGAGACAGATCTTCATATCCTCTTGGTTTTTCAAGTATCTTGAAAAGACAAGAGAACCTGTGAAAACATAGATATTACGAAGGTTAAGCAAGTGGTCTATAATCAGAATACAAATAAAAACATCCATTTCCCCACAAATATTTTTTTAGTTACTGTAAATTTTCATAATATTTTTTTAAAAAGTTGCATAGCTGCAAGATGATTCATTGCTGATTAACTGTGGAGCAGTTTTATTTAAGAAGAAACAACATATTTAAATAAATAGTAATTCAGTAGACAATCCTGGATTTAATTAATTAAAATGTAATTATGTAACTTGATTCACTCTTTGGACTGCATCCTGATAATCCTAAAACTTTAAAATATTAACATATTTCAGCTTTCCTATGTAGAAGTCTATTTTCCACTCTCAGGGGGAAAAAAAAAAGAACTTGAGATCATAGCCTACATTTCAGAGAATGTTTTACTGCTTGATTACATTTCTTGGTTTCACATTTGAGACTTTATAAGAAGTAAATTATGTGGTCTTCAATTTAGGAATAGGTGAATGCAGAAATATCATGTTGGGGAAAAATAGAGACCCCAAGCAAAAAAACAAATCAAAACACAAGTAGTTGCACAGCTCTAAAGAACTTAAAAAATCAACTTTAGATCAGTTAACTTTGGCGTCTGAGAGTTTATCAGTATTACCTACATAGATGACTGTTAAGGGATGTGCAGCATTTTCAGACTCCCTGTGTGTCCTTTATATGCATGTTTGGTGCAATGTGTTCTGCAGCAATTGTCCTCTCTTCAGCAGGATTTCTTTTGCTGTATGATTGTCCATCTCTGCCTTACCAAGTCTCACAGAACTCAAGATTTCTGGCTTAGTATTCCTGCGTTTTTGTTTGTTTTTCCAGAGACAGATCTTCATATCCTCTTGGTTTTTCAAGTATCTTGAAAAGACAAGAGAACCTGTGAAAACATAGATATTACGAAGGTTAAGCAAGTGGTCTATAATCAGAATACAAATAAAAACATCCATTTCCCCACAAATATTTTTTTAGTTACTGTAAATTTTCATACATTTACTAACTCAAAAACTCCTAAAATCAGTGTTTTGCAAAAGGATCAATTAAAGCTTACAATAGATACAAAAAATAGCCACTACATAACAGTCACTAGCCCTTCACAATAAAGATGACACTGAAGTACAGAAAACACACACGTATAATTTACTAATTTCTCCCCCAAATGTCTAAAAACCTCAAATTGAAAATTAAACTACTACCTACCTAAGTCCTTAGATATTCATATATCGCTATTTGGGGCCAACTTTCAAATTCCTATGCTGAAGAATATCAGAAATGCTGCATTTACTGCTGCATTTTTTTTTTTTGTTAATGTTTTAACAATACTGATTCCTCTTCAAACCCATATACTTCTGAGACAGCAAAAGGGATAAGAAATATTTATCATTTGACAAATAAAAGCAGTCAGAACAGAAAATGTGAAAGACTAAAGATATTCCATGTCTATACATTCTTGAAAATGACTCAAGACCCATAGAGCAGACTCCATAGATTGTGATTTCTGAGGGCAGCTGCTCCTAAACTCAGGTTCTATATACAAAAATAAATAAAAAGATAACACTGATACATAAGGTAAAGAAACTGAAATGCTGTTTAAGACCAACACACATACATATTGACCTCTGAGATGAGACGAATGTTTCACATATCCCATCCCTATTTTGACACCGAAGGGAAATTTTAGCCAATTGGGCCATGAAATAAAAAGCTGTAAAATTCTACCTTACACAAACAAGTTTATTGACTCCAGCAAAAGACAAATTTTACCCATAGGTGGAAAATTGTGACATATTACTTTGATAAATAAAATACTAAGATAAAAATTTCATTTTATTAGCACTGGTTTTTAGAACTTCCCTTAAAAATACTACTTGACTCTATAGCATCTTACAACACTGATGGACAGTGACTGCAATGGGGTGTGGTGGTGGGGGACTTGATAATATGGGTGAATGTAGTAACCACAATGTTGCTCATGTGAAACTTTGATAAGATTGTCTATCAATGATACCTTAATAAAAAGAAAAGAATTAGAAAAAAAAATATTATAGTTTCAGCCAATTTTAATTTATTGGCCGTGGCACTGAAGACATTCCAAAGCATTCCCCTCCATAAAAAAAAAAAAACCTTTTTCACAATGAAATGAAAGCATACGTTCTCATATACTCAAAATACCACTTCAACACCACACTTCCCTTACACAGCCATCTTATCCCAATTCATATTTCAAAAGTGTCAAGATACGATCTGAATAACCTCACAGTAAAAGGTTTGAAAACTACAATGTTGCTCATGTGAAACTTTGATAAGATTGTCTATCAATGATACCTTAATAAAAAGAAAAGAATTAGAAAAAAAAATATTATAGTTTCAGCCAATTTTAATTTATTGGCCGTGGCACTGAAGACATTCCAAAGCATTCCCCTCCATAAAAAAAAAAAACCTTTTTCACAATGAAATGAAAGCATACGTTCTCATATACTCAAAATACCACTTCAACACCACACTTCCCTTACACAGCCATCTTATCCCAATTCATATTTCAAAAGTGTCAAGATACGATCTGAATAACCTCACAGTAAAAGGTTTGAAAACTGACAGTCTTCTAGTATCTAGAGTTCACCAAGGCTTTCACATTTCACATGCCATGACTCAACTGTTATTATGACAGAGGTCTCAATGTTAAAGTTTTTACTTCAGTTACTATAGCTACTATTCAATTATCTGAAATGTCCTTTATCAATATTCTAATTTGCTATTAAATTATCCTCATTAAGAGCAACAGAATTCCCTGTGTTTATTATCTCAATACCTCAAATTTAAGACCAGGAGTTACTGAAATAAAAGAAAGTGAGAGACAGCACTAGACTAGACCTCAGGGTTATTATCTGCTCTAGTTCCCTGCCTTCGGTCTTAGCCATTCAGAAAAGACTGCCATCTGTTACTGTCTTGAATCTCTGAACACAAAGACTCTGATTCCTGAAACAATTCCAGGATTGGCTAAAATGTTGATGTAAAAACCCAATGCTTTATATAATTTCTGCAAGACTTCTCAAAAAAGCTTTTCATATATATGAAGAAAGCAATTAACTATTTTTTCAAAGGCAAATGATGTATTTAATTCACTTCGTGGAACATAAGAAAGCAATACTCAAGTGAGGTTATCATTCAATTCACTGTACTTTTTCAGATAATGCAGAATCATGAATAAGCTATATTAGAGCAGAACAAATTCTGTATTTGGTTTAAAATACACTTTTTTTCTTTTTGTCTACTATACAGAGAGAGGTACTGCATTATATGCCAAGGATACAAAGGTCAAAGATTAAACTGAATGAATGAACCCATGAAGCAGTTATTTGAATAAAATGCTCCTACTTAATAACAGCAGAGTAGCTAACATGGACAGTGTTTGGAGCCAGAATGGATAGGTTCAAGTCCCACCTCTACCAAGGATCTAGCTATGTGACCTTAACAAGTTTCTTAACCTCTTTATCACTTAATTTCCTCATCTGCAAAATAGAAATGGTGAGTTCTGAGCTCAAAGGGTGGTTTTAACAATCAGGTGAGTTATTAAAAGATGTACAACTCTTAGAACAATGCCTGGCCATAATGATGGGATATAAATGCTAACTAATGATTATAATTACAGTATTATATTGCACTACCTAAGACTATACCTGGAAGTATAGATAAGAATATGAAATTTGATTTTGTTTGCTAAAGATGTTGGACTGTTGGTACAACTTGCTTCTTAAAGTTATGGAACTTCATTACTCTGACCCTCAAGTTTCTCACTGGTAAAGTGAGATCATGACATTGTACTTCATGGTTTTTTTTAAGTATTAAACTAAAATTAAACAGTCTAATGTGTTTCAGAGTACCAAAAATGTAAAAGTTACTCAATATGTGTCTCTTCAGGAATCAAGAAAGCTGTTCTTCACCTTTGTTATGTGTGTTTTCTATACAGGAATTAACACATCTGGAATACACACACACACACACAACCCCCTTGATGAATAAAAGAATGAATAAAAATGGTGGCTGAGAATGTATAATTCAGTTAACACTTTAAAAAGTAATTAGAACATGAGAATTACCTGAAACAGGAAGCTGATGCTTAATCTGAAGGGTGCTCAGGGCAAGATCTATTTACTTCAAACCATTCATCTATGCAGCTAGGAAAGAACAAAAACAGAAAAATTCAAACACGTTTAGTTAGATATGACAGTCATAATAAAAACGCTTAACTTTAATGTATCTTCACAGAAAAAAAATTCAATATTTTAAATGATCACATTTGGCATATATAAGTGAAAAATAAGGACATGTTTATTGCATTATGATTATTCTAAGCAGTTAAGAAAATAATCTTTGCAAAATTATGCTATGAAGTACTTTAAACCAATCAACCATTACCAAAAGAAGTTACCAAAAAGTTTAATCAGAACAACCACTACTTCTTTACCAATATTCAAAATTAAATGACAAAGCTGGACAGATATTTCTCTTCAAAATAGTTATTCATTTATGCAAATATTAACCTGTTTACACCACCTGTCAATGAAATAAAAAACAGCCTTTAAATGTAATTCTTGATAATACTGCATCATTTTCAAAGACCATATTTATATGTATTATTTTAATTCTATCCTGTTCTGTAAGACATATACTTACAAAATTCTATTTGCACTTATAAACTATTTCCTGACTTCCTAGAAATTAAGTATCAGGGTGCATATAATTATCCTGATTGTAGATCTGTACTGTCCAATGCAGTACAAATCACATGTGGCTATTTAAATCCATTAAGATTAAATGAAAGAAACAGTCACACTAGCCACATTTCAAGTGCTCAAAAGCCACATGGCTAATGGCTATTCTACTAGACAGCATAAAGAACATGTCCATCATCACCAGGGTCTTTTCCAAAACCCCAGACCCTTTTCACATAAATTGCTATCAATAGACATTTAAATTTTATATTTATTTATTTAAACTTTATATTTATTTAATATAAATTATTTGAATATTTTTAAAATATTTATATTTAATATTTATTTAATATTTTATTTAAATTTTTTAATATTTTATATTTTTTTAGATATTTATTCCCTTATTTAAATTTTATATTCCCTTGTCCCAACTCCAGAAAGTTCTACTTCACTGTGATAAATGATAAACCTGTCTTATCATTTGTATGAGTCTTTAGAAACTTTTTTTATAAATGACAAAGGCCTTTGAAAGGTTAAGTAACTTGCCCAATAGCAAGGAAATTACCCAAGAAGGATTCAAACTGTTGAACATTCTCATTGTTGACACATGCCAAATTTCCATATGCCACAAAAACTAGAAGGTTTGGCTATTATGGTGAAGGGAGAAATTTAATATTTATCATTCTCATATCCTGACAGGAAGGTACGGAAGTTAAAAATGGACAAAATTAAAAGGAAATAAAATATCCAATCCACACGATATTCCTTCAAATACCTAAGAAACAATCTTTCAATCTGTTTTCAACTAGTCAGTTTTGTCTATATAGATTTATTATAATTACTAATATTGGATTTATTTTTACCTCTTTATTTTGAACTATTTACTGTTTTCTCTCTGCATTCACTCACTCCTAACCCCTGCCTTTAAATAAAATTCCACCTTATTACTTTTATTGGCTTAAAAGTTAGAGTTTTCTATTCTTTTGTAGTTATCCTAATTTTTTTACCTACTTTTTCTTTTATCTTAAACTGCCTTTTGCTTGAAACTTTATGACAAACCAGACAGGCTTTGGAGTCAATCAGACATAGCTGGAATCTCAGCTCTTGTTTACTAGCCATGTGGCCTTGGAGAGATTCCCTCTGGTCCCTCAGCTTATTTCCCCAATTGTAAAATGGTATTTTTACAAGGTTTAGATGAGAAAACCTGTTTAAAAGGCTATGGACAATACCTGGGTCACAGCAAATGTTAACAAGTTAAGTACAATTTTGGATACAAACAGATGTGGGTTTAAATCTTAGTTCTAGTAGGAAAACAAGGCCATTAATTTTTAAGAAATGGGGGGGTGGGGGTGGAATTTCAATGAAGAAACCTTTTCAGCTCTAACTATAATGTTTGAAACTTTCACTCTAATATCAACTTGTTAATGTAAACTTACCCTTTATGATATATGCATAGACAAGGCAGTCGTGCTATAGTATCTCCCTGCTGCAATTCTTCAAGGCATATTGCACATTCCCCAGCATCTTTACTCAGTACATCCTCTGGGAAAAGAGAATAAATTCAGGACAATAAACTGAAAGAAGAATTACATGAATGCTAATTTACAAAGAGTGCTAATTGGCACATTTTGTCAGAAATGCATAAAATTCAGCACCCATATTTAAAATATTACTCATAACTCATTGACCTTTACTTACAGTACTCATAACCTTTACTTACAGTGTCTCATTTCCATCTACATTTCACTGAGTCATTATAGTAATCAAGAACAGTACAGAATCCACCAACTTGCAAAGGACTTTGCTATAAAATTTTATCAGAAGTCAGTTATTTGTAATACGGAATTCATTTTCCTTCTACTATGATTAGCATTATTAATTAAGTGCCCAAGATAGTTCAAAAGTTTAAAGTGTAACACTGCTGAAAAGATGTGAAAATGCTGAAATTTTAAAAATTGTAAAAAAAAAAAAAATTGGGTTAAGTTATAGAAATCACCCTGAATACAGAACTTTTTAAAAAATCTGCTCAAAAATACAATAAAGCAAAGCTTTTGTGTAGATTCTGAAGGAGACTTTAAGGAAACCTGACATTAGATGCAACAATTCTTCTCAACCCTTTTCCATGACAATATCAAACCTACTCCAGGGAGCAATTAGAGTGGCTTCCAAAGGGCTCTGCAGGATGTGCTGTTTAAAATACTCTTAAGGTAAAACTCCTTATAAAGCCAAAATTCCTTTTGGGGAAGGGAAAAAAAAAAGGTTCTCTCAAGTTATTTTGTATTGAAATTTTAATTTAAATTATATTTTATTAATACTAAATTTTAATTTTTAAAAGGATCATGTCTAAAATAGAGTTTGTTAGCTAGAGATGCTTTAGACTCTTGAAATAAGGATTAACTAAAACATGCCATTAGTGCAAAGTATGGAGTAACTGTTGAAGGGCATACATTCACAGTAAGTTCAGAGAATGGAAAGCTAAAGCAGGACATGTAATATGAATTTATACCACAAATAAATAAATTACTGTTTTGGGAAATAAAAATCAAATACACTAAAGAGGAAAGGCTGCACCAATCTCCACATAAATGCTCAAAGAGCAAGGTAGAGACATTTACTAAAACTAAGTATCTGTCTGGTAGTACCATACCTCTCATAAAAACCAACCCATGCAATTGTGCATGTATCTACAATACCTTCTTGTAGAAAAATTCACTGCATTAAGAAGTAGCTCCTCCTTTAGTTACTCATTTTGAGGCAGTGCATTAAGAAGAAACACAGACTCTATTTGGTCTATTGAAGGGAAGGTACCAGCAGACAATTTACAGAAAGGCTGGAGGGGGTAACGGAAACTTCCACAGAAAAAGGAAGGGCGTGGGGAAGAAGGATTTACAGTTTTGAAACCTTGGGAATATGGTTGCGATGATTTTAGCTAACTACTGGGGAGCTCAAAAGATAATGTATCACAATCAGAGACTTAACCAGAACAAGATCTCTAGACGAGTTAAGGTGGGTAAATGTAAAATGTACCTTAAGAACCCCTCAACTACTCATCCCCCATTTTTCTTTTCTTGACCCTGGAGGTTCCATCCACTATACCCACGTCACCCACCCCCACTCTGACTCAAGTCTTTCTTCCTTTTCTTGATCTTCATTTTTCTCTAATTGTCTGGATAGCTTTCAACAGTTAGATGCTTTACATTAAACTGCTTTCCTAACTAGTGGTAAGTTCATAAGTATACTGGAACCCACAAAATGGAGGCTACCCCGTGGCCCTGCCCACATCACAAATCTAAACCTAAATCAGCCTGTACTTACAGAAACCCCTCCCCTCACTGTCAAGGAAGCCTAAGGCCAACCACAACTCTCCAACTATAGCTTCAGCTAGAGCATCTGGATGTGGTGAACAGGACCTGCTAGCTTAAAAAAAAAAATTCCTGGCCTCGTGGCTTATCACGCCCGACTTCCATGTTTCTCTTCTAATCGTCTATATAACTTGCTCTTGCCCCAAATCCCTGCTTGCTAGGCACTGTACTCCGCCAATCCATGGGCTGTTTTCCCTCTAAGAAAGAACATCAAACTCATTAATACATTGTTTTAGTTTTGTCATTTAACACTAGGATGATAACAGTGAGAACAAAAAGAAAAGGATCTGATGGAAACACTGAATGATACAGAATTCCAAATACAGTATATTCTCACTACTTACATTTTTTCACCAAAAAGATATGCCACATCTTATCAATGGATCTAGGTTCCACAAACACACTTTAAAAAATAAACCACTTTTTATCATGTCTAAGACATCAATGATTCTAACATGCACCACTAGCTTTATATACCATAAGAAAAAAATGCTATTAAATAAACTATGACACAAATCAATTTTAAGATGTATCTCTTTTTTCAGAGCTGTTAAAAGTATGAAAAAGTGTGTCTTAGAATTGATAAAGGTATCACATTTTCTACCTTCTGGAATATATTAACAATATATATAGATTTAAGCCTTAATTAACCATAAAAATCTCAATTATCATAAATTAAGAAAATGAGATTGACCAGCTTTTAAAAAATAAAAGCACTGCTACAATTTTTGCCATATAAATCTATTTAATGGATTCTCAGTATCAAATGAAAATAAGTAGAAATCTTAAGTACAGGCTTCTGAATGCATTATTCAGAGAAAAATAACTGTCTTATAATACTTTTATGCTGACCTATGACTACCAAGTCTCATTTCTTTATTGCAATAGGTTTTTAAAAATCTTTTAAGTGGGAAAATTTCAATTACATTAAAAGGCCTTGGTTTTATCCTGTTTATAAGAAAATTTATTTACAGTACAACAAACAAATGCAAACTGCATATAATTAACAGAATGATATATACATTTAATATTATGCTTTGCAGTACTGTTAAAAGGTACACCTGTAAACAAGAGCATCCCAAAAACATTAATATAACACTTTAATAAGCAGCAACCAATATCCATTGTAAACAGCTTCTAGAGAAATATCTCTGCTCAGAAAGTTAAAAGTTACTGTTAACACAGCTACTGCTTGCTCAACTACATTTGAGTTAAAAGACAGTTCACTCTTACTACAAAACCTCAGTTACTGCCTCAAATAGAAAATGTTTAATTTTCAAATGTGAAAGTCTTATTTACTATAGAATCTGGCTTTGTAGGTTTGAAGATACTTTTCCTTTCTGAAAATTCACTATGCAATTTGATTGATTTTTCCTGGCCTGGGAATTTCCTCAGAGTATTTCCCTACTACCCTACTACCCACCCCATTTCGACACTGTCCTTTCATTCAAAGAAAAGTTCTGAGGCTCAGTAATGTGATAGATTCAGAGTCAAATCGGACCTGAGAATAACCACTGAAATTCAAGACACTGAAACACCTTCAAGACAGTTGGGAAAAGATTATTAAATACCTTGAGCCAATCAACTGAAAACATTAAGATACTACCTACCGGCAATAAGGACTCAAAGCTTTAGGACTAGAACAGACTGAGGGAAGACTACTAACTAGCCAATACTGACTATTAGAGCAGCAGAAAAGAGAACACTAATAGATTTAAATACCACTAATTGGCTAGTCTGGATTCCCTCTCTGCCTAAGTACTTAACAACTGAGAAACCCTCAAGAATGTGAACTGGAGACTAAACGTGTTGTGTTTTCAAAAGTGTAAACATCTGGAACAGTAAACAATGGGCACCAGCATCACTTGGGTATATATTCTGTCTCAATAATAAAAAACATTACATATACCTGAACTCATCCCTAGAGATACATGAAATATACACTTGCCTCAGAAACACAATTGCTACCAAGGGAACTGCATGTTAAAGTAGAAGGATCATAAGATTTAAAGTTTAAAATTTCTACTTAAAACTTCCATTCTCACTATTAGCTATGTAACCTTCAAAATGTTGGCTGACCCTGAGTTTCCTTTTACTCTTCCTTAATATTAATAAGAGTACTCAAATTATAGAGGTGAAATTTTAAATAAGTGAAAAATACAAGTTACAAAAACACTATTCAAAATAGTAGTTTATATTATCATCATCAGAAAGTACTTTACAGACTTCCCCAAAATCAGTCAGTCATTTTTCTACTTTTTCTCCTTCCTATTTTGGTATTCTAGTTGTCTCAACTTTACAAAATGTCCTAAATACCCCCATGGCTACCAGACACTTTACATGGTTATTACTGACCAGCCACTTTTAGAGACCAATTAGATAGATGCCAAGCTGGGAATGACTCCATGCAGATGATACTGACTCAATTTGTAAATTGTCTGTCTTCATTCTACATTTAAAAGTATTATAAATGTCAACTTTGTTACACGCTTTTAGATGTATGTAAGTCTTTTATTAATCCTATGAGGTGACTAATGTTACCTCCATTTTATACATAAGGAAACTGAGGCTCAAATGAGTTAAGTAACTTACCAGAAGTTACTAAACTAGTAAGTCCTAGGGTCAGGAGGTAAAATTAGGCTAAATCCTGTTCACATTTCATGAATTTTGCTAGAAGAAACAATTCCACTTTAAAATAGCATAAATACTGAAGCAAATAAACTGTTTCAGGCAACTTAAATTAGAAATATTCAAGATGGGATGGCTATTAACTTAGAGGAGTTATGCCCAAGATGGGTCGGTTCATGTGCTTTATCTTCTGGAGTTACTGAACTGTTTTTAAAAATTAGTATCAGAAATGAGCTTACCCTTTACTGTTCAATTCCTTCTGCTAGGTAGGGAAAACAGTCCTAACAGACTTCTCTGTGATGACAGTAAGTTTTTTACCCATGCTGTCCAAAAACAGTAGTTACTAGCCACATATAGCCTGAAAACAGCACTTGAAATGTAGCCAGTGAAACTGAGAAACTGAATTTTTAAAAATTTTATTTTGGTAAAATATGAAACTTTAAAATACATAGTAGATAAGAAACATACATTTTATAAACTAATTTAAAACTTCTGTAAATTGATATTTCACTTACAGTCTCAAGCTCTTAATTTGCATTGCCCCCCCCAAAA